TTTTTAGTAGAGACAAGGTTTCACTGTGTTGGCCAGACTGGTCTCGAACTCCTGACCTCAGGAAATCCGCCCACCTTGGCCTCCCAAAGTGCTGGGATTACAGGCATCAGCCACCGTGCTGGGCCAACTGATTTATTCTAATTTGTAAATTTATTTGTATGAAACATTTCTGAGGTATGACACCAAAACCATATCCAGTTACACCCTTGACATATTGCATTTGGTAGAAGTTGCATCAAATTAAGGTGTTGAAGAGGATCCAGGCTGTCCTGTCCTCGTTCCTGTCCCCCACACTCCTTGGCATTCTGGTACAGCAAACTGATTTTTCAGGCTCCTGAGTCGCAAGTCTTATGCTGACCTCTCAAATGCCCCAAGCAAATAAAGAGAAGAAACTGGCCTCTCTTTTCTACCTGCCTGAAGAAAATTGTTTCTGGACGAATGGCTGTGTGGTCAGAGCTGCGGGCAAGTTTAGATAACCATTGAGACTTTTCTTTAGTGCTAATGGCCACATTTTGTGTTACTGACCTTGGCTCAAAATTGGTTTTCATTTCAAGATGGAGTAATAATTTAAAAGTTCTACATGGGCATTTGACACATCTATTTGTTTTTAGATTTTTATTATAAATTTTGGATTTGAACCTTTGACTGACCCAAGAGGGTAGGTTCCCTTTGCTTTCGTACCCTGTGTTCCAGTGAGTGCTGGTCTGGGAGGCATTGTAGTAGAGTGGAAAGAACTTTGGCTCTAGAGCCGGTGAGACCTGGGTTCAAATCCCAGCTCTGCGTGTACTGGTTTTCTGAACTTAGAAAAGCACTTTCTCTTTAGCATCTTGCCTGTATTTGTAAAATGGAGATTATGGTTGTCTCATGGAGTGAGTGTGAGAGGCATGGCACATAGTCAGAACTCCTTAAGTTATTGTCTTTATGATAGATCTTGACATATGAAAATGAATTATCGTTTAAACAGCAATGTTTCTGATGTGTGAACTCTGTATCATTCTTATCTTGGCTTTGTATAAAATCTCTTTGTCCAGGCTTTTTTGTTTAAAAAAAAGCTTTTAAATAATTTTAACTTTTATTTTAGATTCAAGGGTCACACGTGCAGGTTTGTTACCTAAGTATATTGCATGATGGTATGGTTTAGGATACTATTGATCCGATCACCTAGGTGGTAAGCCTAGTACCCAGCAGTTAGTTTTACAGCCCCTGTTCCCCTCCCTCCTTCCCCTTCTAGTAGTCCCCAGTGTCTACTGTAGCCATTTTTATGTCCGTGAGCACTCACTGTTTAGCCCCCAGTTGTAAGTGTGAAGGTAGGGTCCAGGCGCGGCGGCTCATGCCTATAATCCCAGCACTTTGGGAGACCGAGGTGGGCGGATCACTAGGTCAAGAGATCCAGTCCATCCTGACCAACATGATGAAACCCCATCTCTACTAAAAATATAAAAATTTGCTGGGCATGGTGGCAGGCGCCTGTAGTCCCAGCTGCTCAGGAGGCTGAGGCAGGAGAATTGCTTGAAACCAGGAGGCGGAGGTTGCAGTGAGCCACCATCATGCCATTGTATTCCAGCATGGTAACAGAGCAAGACTCCACCTCAAAAAAAAAAAAAAAGTGAGAAGGTATTTGGTTTTCTGTTCCTATGTTAATTCACATAGGATAACGGCCTACAGCTGCATCCATGCTATTGTAAAGGACATGATTTTGTTCTTTTTCATGGCTAAATAGTATACCATGGTATACATGCACCACATTTTCTTTACCCAATCCACCCTGGATGGGCATTGAAGTTGATTCTACATCTTTGCTATTGTCAATAGTGCTGCAGTGAACATACATGCACGTGTCTGTTTGGTGGAATTATTTGTTTTCTTTTGGATATATACCAAGTAATGGAATTGCTGAGTCAAGTGGTAGTTCTGTTGCAAGTTCTTTGAGAAATCTCCAAACTGCTTTCCACAGTGGCTGAACTGATTTACATCCCCAACAACAGTGTGTAAGCGTTCCCTTCTCTACCCAGTGTGGTGGCTCACGCCTGTAATCCCAGCGCTTTGGGAGGCTGAGGTGTGCGGATCATTTGAGGTCAGAGTTTGAGACCAGCCTATCCAACATGACGAACCCCCATATCTACTAAAAATAAAATAAAATAAAAATTAGCCCAGTGTGGTGGCACACTCCTGTAATCCCAGCTGCTCGGGAGACTAAGGCAGGAGAATTGCTTGAACCCGGGTGACAAAGGTTGCAGTGAGCTGAGATCGCACCACTGCACTGTAGCCTGGGCAAATGGAGTGAGACTCCATCTCAAAAAAAAAAAAAAAAANCTCCATCTCAAAAAAAAAAAAAAAAAAAAAAAAAAAAAAAAAAAAAAAAAAAAAAAAAAAAAAAAAAAAAAAAAAAAAAAAAAAAAAAAAAAAAAGCATTCCCTTCTCTCTGCAGCCTCTCCAGCATCTGTTGTTTTTTTTGGCCTTTTAATAATAGCCATTCTGACTGGTATGAGATGGTATCTCATTGTGATTTTGATTTACATTTCTCTGATGATTAGTGTACGTTTTTTAAAATATTTATTGGCCACATGTATGTCTTCTCTTGAGAAGTGTCCGTTCATGTCTTTTGCACATTTTTTAATGGGATTATTCATTTTTGGTTGATTTAAGTTCCTTATAGATTCTGGATAGTACATCTTTGTCAGATACATAGTTTGCAAATATTTTCTCCCATACTATAGGTTGTCTGTTTATTGATAGTTTCTTTTTCTGTGCAGTAGCTCTTTAGTTTAATTAGGTCCCACTTTTCAATTTTCATTTTTGTTGCCATTGCTTTTGAGGACTTAGTCATAAATTGTTTCCTTTCTTGGGTTTTTAGAGTGCTGATTAATTTGTGTACTTCAGTTTTCTAGCTAATTTCGATACAGTTCAGTGGGTAAAAAAAAGAACATCCTCCTTTGTGTAATTTGTTTCTGTTTCAATGCTATCCTTTGTCTCTGCTTATTTGTACTACCATGAACTTTTTGGAGTGGAAGCACGGAAGTGTATCTTATTTCCATGAATTCCTTACCAAGATCTTTAGAAGCTCTTCCTGATTTTAATAAACGTTTTTCTCCCCACAACTAGAGATTTCCATTGCTTTAGTATTATTTTTCAGGTCTGTGATAGACATTGGGTAGGAAGAGACAGAATTCTGTGGAGGAATTATTTAGAAACTAAACTGTGGCTGTGTTTGAGGATGACAGTTGTTAAGTTTGTTTGTTTGAGACAGAGTCTTGCTCTGCAGCCCAGGCTGGAGTGCAGTGGTGAGATGTCAGCTCACTGCAACCTCTGCCTCCCTGGTTCAAGTGATCCTCCTGCCTCAGCCTCTCCAGTAGCTGAGATTACAGGCATATGCCACCATGCCCAGCTAATTTTTGTATTTTTAGTAGAGATGGGGTTTCATCATGTAGGCCAGGCTGGTCTCAAACTCCTGACCTTGTGATCTGCCCTCCTCGGCCTCCCAAAGTGCTGGGATTACAGGCATGAGCCACTGCGCCCAGCCAAGTTTTTACTTGGACTTTTTACTCTTAATGAGTTCCATTTAATGAAAAGATGGTGAAGTGCAAATTCACATCATAAGTGTCAATTGTGAAAAAATAGATTTATGAAATTATGACCATTCTTAAAAGTTAGTGAAAATGAAATTCTAATTAGATTCCTCTTTGTAACTTTCAGCTATACAAAGAAATTGAAATCTGTCCAAAAGTCACTCAGACCATCCACATTCAGAAGTCAGATACAGCTGCTGATACTTACGGTAAGTTTATTTTTCCTTGTGTTTTAAAGTTTTTTTTTAATGTAAGCGTGCATTTATTTACAACTCAACAAAATGCCTTTAGGTCCGTTCTAAAACAGATAGCATATCCGGCTTCTGTGCTGTGGAGGGTAGTCACAGTAGAAAAAAAGGGAATATTTGCTCTGGGTACAACGCAGACTTTGGTGTTAAATTTCGTAACTTATTAAATTTCATAACTTCTTATTATTGGGGTTCTACTGTCATAAAAAGGAAGTGGGTAGATATTTTATATGTCAAAAGATAAAGTTACAGCAAATTTAGTTATAAATCTGATTAGCTTTTATTTGTGATTCATGCATGAGGCAGCCTCCATCCTACAAAATAGAATGAGAGCTACCGGGCTGGGCGCGGTGGCTCATGCTTGTAATCCCAGCACTTTGGGAGGCGGAAGCAGGTGGATCACAGGTCGGGAGTTCAAGACCAGCCTGGGCAATATGGTGAAACCCCATCTCTACTAAAAGTACAAAAATTAGCTGGGTGTGATGGTGGGTGTCTGTAGTCCCAGCTACTCGGGATGCTGAGACAGGAGAATTGCTTGAATCCAGGAGGCAGAGGTTGCAGTGAGCTGAGATCGCACCACTGCACTCCAGGCTGGGTGACAGAGGGCTCCTTCTTGGCAATAGCAGAACAGTGATTTTTGTAAGGGGGAGACAAGGAAACAGAAAAGTAGAAGAAACCTGATTGTTTAACATTACCTTACTTCAGGTTACTTTTTTGCAAGGGTTAAAGTAGAGGGGACCTACTTATTTTGCTGACTCAGGTAGACTGGAATCTCTAATTTTCAGGAAAAACTGGTCTGTTTGGGGATCTACCTGACTCCTGAAAGTTTTTATGTGGCATCCAGCATGAGTGACTCCATTTTTATTTGATCTAGCCTTTTGAGCGTAATGCAAAAACTCGGTTCACAGCAATGACCTTCCTTAATTTTTGTTTAACATATACTATGATATACCTTAGAAAAGTAGGAATCGTTCTCACCCCCACCCCCGCCCCACGAGAGGCAGTCTCGCTCTGTTGCCCAGGCTGGAGTGCAGTGGGGTGATCTCGACTCACTGCAACCTCCGCCTCCTGGGATCAAGCAATTCTTCTGCCTCAGCCTCCCAAGTAACTGGGATTACAGGTGCCTGCCACCATACCTGGCTAATTTTTCTATATTTAGTAAAGACAGGGTTTTACCATATTGGCCAGGCTGGTCTCAAACTCCTGACCTTGTGATCTGCCCACCTGGGCCTCCCAAAGTGCTGTGATTCCAGATGTGAACCACTGCACGTGGCAGGAATTATTCTTTTACACCCCTCTCCTGAAAACATAGACATTATCCTCCCTTCCCACACAAATAATGTTAAAGGAACTTATCTTGGTATTGTGTTTTTGAGGGGAGGTCCCCAAGACCATCCCTAGGTTTGCTGATTCACTAGGAAGACCCGCAGAGCTCAGCATCTGGTCACACTAACAACTATG